TCAATAGCCTGAAGGGAACCCTCCTTTTCTTGGATCACTTACAGCCACAAGTTTACTCATTTCACCGGAATGTCCACCAGATTCTTGAACTATGAACTGAGCAATCGTCCCTCCGGCGATCGGCGTTAAGACATGACCTTTCTTCTCCAACACAACTCTTGTCTCTTTAGGAATCTCGAAGTGGTCATTGAAAACCGTAGTCCAATTCTCATATGTAACTCTGTTTGGTATCAACTGCAAAATGACATTACAAAAATCAGATTTTAGTTTTGAACAAAAGAACAAAAAAGTTTATAAAGACAAAAATAAGCAAAAACCTGATGGTAGATTCTTGGAGCCAAGACAGAAGAAAGAGGATCCATCTTGAGGAAAAAATGATTCATGAAAACTTCGGTTGTTCCGGCGATGATATTCGCTCCTCCACTAGCACCCACTGCGGCTTTCACTTTACCGTCCTGAGTAAACCAAGTCAGAAAAAACCCATCGTTTAGAACCCTAATTCAGAGTTTCGTGTAGCACAAGTAACATGGTTTTTTTTTCCTTACTTTGAGTACAATGGTGGGTGACATAGAGGACAAAGGTCGTTTGCCGGGACGGATGAAGTTCGCCGGAGCTGGTGGTGGCACATTTAGGTTACCGTTGGATTTCATCGGGATTGAGAAATCATCCATTTCGTTGTTCAAAACGATCCCGGTGCTAGGAGATAGCATCACTGCCCCAAAGTAACCATTTATTGTACTAGTCATTGAAACAGCATTCCTTTCTTGATCTATGATCGATAAATGGCTTGTCCCGTGATCGTCGATCTGACTCCATCTATGAATTGAAGAAATTAAGATCGATAAATCAAGAATCGAAGAAAAAATATGTGGTTTTAACAAATCGAAGAAAAGAAAAACTTACTTGCCACCGTAAAATTTGGGGTCAAAGGTTTTATCATCGTTTATCTTTCTCTTCAAGTCTTGTGCAAGCTTTAGAGACAACATATCTGAAACAACTTTAGGAACCTCCGCGACGAAATCTGGATCTCCTAGGTTCATTCTAACCGCGAACGCGTGTTTTAAAGCCTCGATTAGTCGATGAACACCGAGAGGGCCCGAAACACCCGATGGAATCTCGTATTGAGAAAGAATGTTCAAAACCTGCAACACAAGAAACTCCGTAAAAACCTTTAGAAAATCAAGGTTTGATAATTGTCGCGAAAAAACCGGACTTACAAGCATCATTGCAGCACCACCGGATGAAGGAGGAGGCATACCAAGGAGTCGGTATCCGAGAATATCTGCGGACAACGGTTTCTTAACCTTAACTCTATAACTTTGCAGATCTTTCAAAGTTATTATCCCTCCGAATTTACGGATATCTTTTGCTAGGTTAATCCCAACTGTGCCATTGTAAAACGCTTTTGGACCGTACCTTGCGATTTGCTTCAGCGTTAAAGCCAATTTTGTGTTACGTATAATCGTCCCTGCTTTCTTGAGCTCTCCATTTGTTACAAATAAGTCAGAGAGACCTTTGTCTGCTAAGATATCGCCTCTAGTCGTGTTCATTTGCATATAGAGATACTTTGAAATCCTGAATCCAGCGGCAAGTTTGGCCGCGGGCCTCACTAGCCGCTTCCACGGTAGCTTTCCGTGCTGTTTCCAAGCTGTGAATAGACCCGCGACTTCACCGGGAACGCCTACTGATAACGCTCCTTTCTTCTTTAGATCAGCATTGCCTCCATACATATTCTACATCAAGAGAATCAAAACCAAGAAATGTCCATGATTCAAGGAAAACGCTATATAACATTAAGAAACTCTGTTTCGCGTTCAAAATGACTATTTGATCAGTAGGAAAAGACATAGTAAGAAACGCTATTTCAGAGGAAGAACCGTCAAAAGCCCCTATTACATAATTCAATATAACCAAGAATGTCTATGATTCATACACATTAAGGAAAACGCTATCTAAGCTCAAGATTGTGTTTAAAATGCCATGTTAGAACAGAGGAAAGAAATGCTATTACATGCATAGATTTTCTACATCAAGAACTATATATCTATAATCTATGTTTAAAAATGCAAGGAAACGCTATTTAAGCTCAAGATCGCGTTTTTTGTTTCAGAAGAATATATGTTAAAAATGTTATTTCAGGTCAAGAAGAGCAAGAACAAAGATATTGTCTATCAGTCTATAATTTAAGAACATGTAAGAAAACGCTACTTTCAAAACGCTAATTTTGATCAGAAGAAAAAAAGAAACACATTTTCACTAAAAACGCGATTACCTCAGTAGCTTTGAGAGGAGCGGTTTCTCTAGAATCATAAGCGATTGCCTTCCCACCAGCTATCTTAACAACCGTAAACGCTCCACCGCCTATACCGCTAGACGCTGGACTCACAACACCCAAACAAAGAGCAGCAGCAACAGACGCATCAATAGCGTTTCCTCCTTCACGAAGAACACTCATTCCAATAACAGAACACCGTCCATCGTCAGTCGCAACCGCACCACGATACTTAACTATACTTTGCTCTCTTTTCTGAGCCGCAACTATTTGTAGAAACGCAAGTAGAAGAAGAGCGATCGTCGCTGTTCGAACCAGCGACATTGCTAAAAGATTGATAAAGAATCAAAAACAGAGATTAATCACAGAGAAGAATAAACAAAACAAAACTGATCTTTAATGTTAAAAAACGAGTACAAATTCGTTTAACAGTAAAGTCTAAGAATATTCGTCGAGCTTTCCCCAGAAATTGAAAATAGATAAGTCAAATATTGAAAACGTTTATGACAGTCTCACACGCGTATACGAAAAAGTTCATAACCACCAATAACTTTATTTTACTGGTTCGTGACCACACAAAAAGCTCAAAACTTGGATTTGATTCCCAAGATAAAACCAGTCTTTATATTTTTGTATTTTGAGCCAAAATTTTACTTAGTCAGAGTTCTGAATATTAGTGGGATATTCACAATATTTCAGAAATTTTGTGCTGGTTGAGATGTTTAAGAAAACAGTCACTTTTTAGGTGAGAAAATGAAATGGCTCAACAAATAAAGCAACTAACTAATGAATATATTGACGATTATTTGGAATAAGAACAAAGGAAACTTACATTTCATGGCTTGAAGAGATTTTTCAGACGACTATTAAGACTAAAGTGTGGCCAAAAGTCTCATTTGAGTTTCTTTTTGGAAGG